GGGTATGTTAATAGGGACTTTGCTAAAGCTGGATCACAGGCCATTGGATTACGCTATACGGTTTCTAACTTTAATTAGCCTACGGAGCACTATAGTAAGCTAAAATGTCTCTGTTACAGAGCTCTGGTCACATCTAGAATGATCAAATATTATATAGGGCTGCAAATTTTCACTGACAGTTCACAACATCAAACTGTGCTCGCCAAGGTTTGACAGTGTAACATGCAGCGTTCTGACTGTGTTTTTGTCCTGCTTTTACTTATCCATATGTCAGAGTGTTACAAAGGAGCAAAAATTGATTTTACAGGGACAAAGGCACTGATAAACACAAATTAATCAATAGTGTTAAAGGATAAGTTCACTTTTGGAACATGTTACATGTTTCACTCTTTTTTATGGTGGATATATACCATGTTCTGCATGCTCTCTCCACTGATCCCTCCCCCCTCCCCTCCCTGTGACATCGGGCCAAGGATTTTCTCCAATTGTAACTATTTGAAAACAGTGCAGTCATGCAGAACTCCAGCCACGTTGATGCGCCATTCATTCATTCACAGTTTCCTTTGAATGAATGCCTACAAGTACCATCAGCCATTGTGGCTGATAGCTTGTAGTTTTCGATGACCTGCGAGGGCACTGGTAAGTGTCCTTGTCTTCCATTGATCTCCCTGCTCTCAGCTGACTGTCATATGGGCAGGCAGCTATGCTGAGAGTCTGCAGGAGCTGGACATTGCACCTGCAATCTGCTGATCACAGGTGCAATGCTCTGTTTGCTGCTTAACCGCTTCCACACCGGGCACTTTTACCCCCTTCCTGCCCAGGCCATTTTTCATTTTTCAGCTCTCTCACACTTTGCATGACAATTGCGCGGTCATACAACACTGTGCCCAAACTAAAATGTTATAATTTTCTTCACACAATAGAGCTTTCTTTTGGTGGTATTTAATCACCACCGGGGGTTTTATTTTTTGCTAAATTAACAAAAAAAGACCAAAAATTTTGAAAAAAAAAAACAAGTTTTTCTTTGTTTCTGTTAAAAGTTTGCAAATAAATAATTGTTCTTCATAAATTTAGGCCGAGATGTATTCTACTACATGTCTTTGGTGAAAATAACCCAAATTAGGATGTATTATTTAGTTTGTAGGAAAGTTATAGAGTTCACAAACTATGGTATAGATCTGAATATTGATCAGTACTGACAGCCAATCTAATTTCTTGAGGTCCAAGAATGTCAGAACAGTACAGATATCCCCCAAATGACCCATTTTTGCAAAGTACACGGTCCGGCGTATTTCATAAGAGGTATGGCGAGTTTTGTGAAGTTGTATTTTTTTTGTCATAATTTTTCACAATTATAGTGATTATGATAATCACAAGATTATTTTCACAATTTTTATTTACATACTGTCACCAGTGCAGTACAGCGTCATCATATAACTGGCATGGTGGTGATCAGGGACACTGACTGGTGACAGTATGAAAAAAAAATATATATATTTTTTTTAAATTTTATTAGTTTTAATTTTTTATTACTTTTTTTTTTTTTTAAGATTTTTTTTTTTTCATATTTCACTATGACCAAAGTAGTATAATGTTACCATAGTAACATTGTACTACTTTGGGGAAGTGATCAGTATTTTGTTATTTTTTTTTACACAATTTGCTTATAGCAAAGAATTACTTTGCTATAAGCAAGCATTTACCTGAATGGCATCGATTCATTCAGGTTTTTTTTTTTTTTTTTTTTTTGTGCTTAGCTGTGATTTGGCCATGGCTAATCACATAACACAGCTGGGCTGTGATTGGCCCAGCTTGTGCATGTGATCGCTGTGACCATTCACAGCTAGACACACTAGTATACAATGTATGGCATGAATGAAGCCATCTATTGTATACAACTGTCATGTGACCTGCTGTGATTGGCAACGGGCCCGGTACTCAGATCTGTCATCGGTACCGAGGTAATTGGCCAGTGACATATCGCGCGGCTCTGTGGGCATGCAAACTGCGCATGCCCGAAAGGATGCTATATGGCGTCCACCCGGAGGGATGTGGGGTTTTGCAGGCCGCCATCTGGCTATAGGCCAGGCGGGAACCTGTTAAAAAATATATATATATTAAATGCACATTTTTTACCTGCAAGAAATTTTTTTTTTTTTTTTTTTTTTTTTTTAAAGGCGAAACTTATCCTTTAACATGGTAAGCATTTGCTGTACATAGTTACAAAAAAAAAACCCTGACATGTCTTGTATAAATGTATAAAAATATAAATATTTACCCTCTTTGCTGTAAAAACCTCTAAAAGGCTCTTTTTTATGACTAGTTAACCTTTAGAAGTCACAACTAGTTGAATGGAGTCCACTTGTGTGCATTTCAAGTGTCATAAGTTTCAACAAGATTACACCTATTTGTGAGGCCCCAGTTTGTTCAAGAACAAATGTTATTGAAGTGCATCATGAAGATCAGAGAGCTGTCCAAACAGGTCTAAGATAAAGCTCTGGAGTAGCTCAAATAAAAATTGGGTTTAAAAACAAATCCCCACATTTTAAACATTCTCTGGGGCACAGTTAAATAAACTTGTTATTTAAAAAAAATGAAAGAATGTGCCATAACGTGTTCCCACTAAAATGCAGTGATTGAATAAGAAGGCTAATAGTCAGAGAAGCAACCAAGAGGCCAGCGGTCACCCTGAAGGAGCTGCAAAAACACATCAGAGATGGGAGAAACCATCTATGCAATAACTTAGATTTTCTACAAAGATGAACTTTGTGGAAGAGCAATAATAAGAACACAGTTGCTTAATGTATATCAAATCCAATGATGTTGTTTCTAAGATATGTGGACTGTCTGGTTACATCAAAATTGAACTTTTTCAAAATGCTATATATGATGGAAGCCAACAGATATCACCCTGAAAACACCATTCCACCAGTGGTAGTAGCATCACTTTTAGGATGTTTGTCTTCAATAGAAAGTAGGAGACTTGTCAGAAGGCTCTATAGCGGGAGCCAAATATAGGGCAATTGTGGAAGATAATTTGTTAGAGGTCTGTCTGGGACAGATGATCACATTCTGGCAGGACAATGACCATAAAATGCAAAAGCTATACCAGATTAGCTAAAATTTCAAGCACCCAAATCTGCTTAATTGGCTCCATTAACCACTTGACCTCCAGAGGATTTACCCCCCTTAATGACCAGGCCTCTTTTTGCTACTCGGCGCTGCACTCATTCAACTGATAATTGCGCGGTCATGCAATGCTGCACCCAAACGAAATTTACGTCTTTTTTTTCACACAAATAGAGCTTTCTTTCGGTGTAATTTGATCACCTGTGCGCTTTTTATTTTTCACGCTATAAACAAAAAAAGGCCAAACATTTTGAAGAAAAACAATATTTTTTACTTTCAGCTATAAAAAATATAAATTTAGGCCAAAATGTATTCTGCTACATGTTTTTGGTAAAAAAAAATCCCAATAAGTGTATATTGATTGCTTTGTGTGGAAGTTATAGCGTCTACAAACTATGGTATAAATACTGCAATTTACGCCATTTTTCTGCTATACAGCGCTGCGCTAGTTTAACGGACAATTGCACGGTCATGCAATAGGGTACATAAATGAAATTTACATCCTTTTTTTCCCCACAAATTGAGCTTTCTTTTGGTGGTATTTGATTGCCTGTGCGGTTTTTATTTTTTGCGCTATAAAAAAAAAGGCTGACAATTTTGAGGAAAAAAAACCTATATTTTGGACTTTTTGCTATAAAACATGTCTAGTAAAAAAAAATGCAAAAATCAAATTTAGTCATAAATTTCTGCCAAAATGCATTCTGCGACATGTCTTTGCTACAAAAAAAAAACCCCAATATGTGTAAATTAATTGGTTTACATGAAAGTTATAGTGTTTACAAATGGCGGGAAAAATACTGGGATTTTTAGGTTTTTTTTTATACTAATAATGGCGGCGATCAGCGAATTATGGCAACGATCAGGGACTTATGGCAGCAACCAGCGACTTATGGCGGGACTGCGGCGGACATTCTGACATTGGAGGGTACTAACTTGGGGTCACTGACATCCCCAAAAACACTAATACAGTGATCAGTGCAAAAAAAAAACACTGACACTGTACTAATGGCAATGGGGAGGAAGGGGTTAACTTTATTTTGCAGGGAAGGGTTATAGGAGTGAGGGGAGTGTTTTACTAGGGGGCGGGGGGGTGTACTGGACGGGACAAGGCTGATCGAGAAAGAGAAACTGTTCTTTCTCGATAAGCTCATCCTCGAGCTGACAGGGAAGTGACAGACAGCACAGCTACTGCAGCTGTGCTGTCTGTCACTGTTTGCTGCCGATCGCCAGGAGATAGCCGCTAAGGACCGGCTGTAACCCGGCGACTCACATGTGCGGCGGTGATCGGCGGGACAGATAGGGCGGCGGCGCACCTCACGCACGCCCCCTAGCTGTTTACAAAACACACGTTTTAAAACGTGGTTTTGCGTGCCAGTGCCGCCCTGCCGCCGTATATCTACAGTGGCAGGGCGGCAAGTGGTTAAAGAGCAGACCTCAATCCAATTAAGAATCTGACAGGACCTAAAATTTGCTGTTCAGCAGAGGTCCAGATCCAAGCTGACATAACTAGACCTTTGTTCATTTAGATGTGTGAAGATGTAGAGTCCTCAAACTATGGCCCGCCAAAGCCATTTATCCAGCACGCCGGGCCAGCTGGAGTGCAAGAAAAAGCAGAGCAGCAAATAGCTCTGGGATTTTTATTTTTTCTTAAACAAACCAAACACCACTGAAAATTTTGAAAAAAAAAAAAAAAATTTTCTTAGTTTTTGTAATACAATTTTGTAAATAAGTGATTTTTCTCCTTCACTGATGTGCGCTAATGAGGCTGCAGTGATGGGCACTGATAGGCTGCACTGATGGACACTGATAGGTGGCACTGATGGGCACTGATGAGGAGGCACTGGTAGGTTGCACTGATGGGCATTAACAGGCATCACTCATGGGCACTGAAAGGCAGCACTGATACATGACTCTGATATATGGTACTGATAGGCGGCACTGTTAGGCGGCACTGACTGGCACTGTTAGGCGGCACTGACTGGCACTGTTAGGCAGCACTGACTGGCACTGATAGGCGGCACTGATGCGCACTGATAGGCAGCACTGACTGGCACTGATAGGTGGCACTGACTGGCACTGATAGGTGGCACTGATTGGCATTGATAGGTGGCACTGATGGGTGACATTGAAAGGCAGCTCAGATGGACACTGATATGTGGCATTGATGTGCACTGGTATGCACTGATATGTGGCACTGATGGGCACTTGCATGTGGCACTGATGAGCACTGACTGCTGGCACTGATGGACACTGACAGGTGGCACTTCTGGGGCCACACTGATCATCAGTGCCCTGATGATCAGTGTACATGTCCCCTCCGCGGAAAGTCGATTACCGGCTCTCCTCTCCTCAGCGTGACAACCGGCATTTCCCTGTTTACATGTGATCAGCTGTGATTGGACACAGCTGATCACATGACTGAGCCGACATCTTCGGCTCTTTCCGTGATCAGTGATCCGCTGTGTCCGAGGGAGACAGCGCATCGCCGCGCATGCAAGGAGAATGGGAGGACGTCATATGAGCCAATCACGGCAAGTGATGTATTCTGTTAATGAATACAGAGCCTGCTCGGATTGGCTGCGTCAGAGAGGCGGGCTGATGATGTCACAACTTCAGCCAATCTGAGCAGGCTCTGTATTCATTAATAGAATACATCGCTCACCGTGATTGGCTCAGCGCGGTACACTGTATGTTGCTGAAGCTACCGTACAGTATTACCGCACATCCAGCGGACACTGACAGGTGGCACTTCTGGGGCCACACTGATCATCAGTGCCCTGATGATCAGTGTACATGTCCCCTCCGCGGAAAGCCGATTACCGGCTCTCCTCTCCTCAGCGTGACAGCTCGAGAGGAGAGAAATGCCGATAACCGGCATTTCCCTGTATACATGTGATCAGCTGTGATTGGACACAGCTGATCACATGACCGAGCTGACATCTTCGGCTCTTTCCGTGATCCGCTGCGTCCGGGGGACACAGCGCACCGGCGATCGCCGCGCTGTGCACTCCCTGAGCCGCGCATGCGCGGTGAGAATGGAAGGACGTCATATGACGTCCTTTTAGAATGAGAGAACCACCTTGCGCCCATCATTGTACTATAGGGCGGGCGGAAGGTGGTTAAAGCAATACAATTGACACAACTCCATTATAGTTTTACTTTAAGCAAGTATGTTTATGAAATAATGAAGATCCAGCCAAAATAGAATGTCTATAAACAGCAGAAAATAACTAACTTACAGTATATTGCATTTATTTACAGAATAATTAGTCATAAACCTACTTGGTGAAATTAAAAGTTTAGGAAATAAAAATATAAAATGTCTCCTAATGAGTCATTACTACTTGATAAAAATACAGTTTTCACCAGGACCTTAAGGCTGGCCATACATTATACAATTATCTTCCAATTTTCTGCCCAATTTCCTTTAGATTTACCTTCAACTGTGTAGTGGAAGGGCCTGCCTAATTGGATACAACTGAAAGTGTTGTTAGGTTTGTCCTCCTATTATATGGTTTTTGGTAAATCTAAACAAAAAATCTCCAGATAATTGTATAATGTATGGCCCGCCTAAGTCATAAGAGAGGCTTCCATTTCTGTGGGAATAATGGCTACCTTGTAGGTGCTTCAGGATTTTGATGCCAATTAGTTGTCACTGTGTAGAGGTGGTGAATGAGGAACATTTCTGGGATCTTCTCAAGGTAACTGACTGCTGTAGTCACAATGAAGTAACACAGATCATTTGGCAGCACAAGCATGGCATAAATAAAAATAAAGCCTACAAACATTTGGCATAGATACAGCTGGGCCATGCTTTTATACTAGGCAGCCACCTCAAAGACCATGATGTTAGCAGTTTGATTGCGCTTGTTCTCTATGGAGGATATGATTTTAATTAGTGATGTTTTTCCATATCCAGTAGGATGTGGCGGAAATCACACCAAGCCATGTAGTTTTACACCTCCGTATTTTCTCACCTTGGAAATCCATTTTTAACACACAGATTATTTTTGCTTCTACAAATATAAGGCCTTTTTGATTGTGCTATGCAGCAAAACACCTAATAGAACTGGAAATTATTTACAATATATACTACCAGAAATGTGAATTTAATTAACTTGGCTGTGCTGACATGGACATTATTGAACTAATTCAATAAACAGTGCACGAACCAAAGGCCAGTAACAGCTAATCAAAATTCCTTCTACTAAATCCAAGATAGGTTTTCAGAAGCAGCAGCAACTAAATTGGGACTTTGCAGGCACCAGTGTCAGAGAGACCACTTAAATATAAATGTAAAAAAGTCAATTTTATTCATAATTGTTAAAAAAGAAGGGATAAAACATCATAGATATTGAAATACATAATCAATAGCTCAATGAAGCAATCATCATTGGATACTGCATCATTCTGATAGGGAGATATAGATATTTCCCTCAAATATAAAGCTCTGACACGTTTCAATTCATTAAGAATCTTCGTCAGGGAGAAATGATACTGAAAATGTAAAAACCATACATCATTATGGAGCCTGATCTCTGCAGGACAATCATGGAGTATTTTGACAAAAGGAGGCAGCAGAAGTTTATTCACTGTTTATTCTTGGAGGCTATCTTGTTAACCTCCCTAGCAGTCTGATTATGTCAGTATTTCTGTGCTCAAAGCGGTACATTGTTTTTAATGGAAATATGTTGTTTTTTTTTATTGTAGGCCTGTAATTCTTAGGAATAACTCAATGAAATCTGTCCGAACAAGAGTCTAGTAAACATCCCGGGTATGATAAAATTTGAAACACAAATCCATAAAATAAATATAAATTATATATAAGAAATAATCATAAAAAATAATAATATAATCAAACCAAAAACACTGAAATTTGAAATATAGCGCCAAGTTCGCACATCACTGAGCAAAGTTGCAAAATAGTTTTCAGTGTCTGATGACGAATTTCCCCATGAATCATTATCACTCAATTCTGCAAGTGGTTCTGATTTACTATCGCTGTTCTCTAGCCGGTCTAAAACCGCGTCTGACCTAAAGGGACGCTTTTTGGACGCCATGAACGTTTCTCAGTTTCCAGGCAGAAAGAACAGTCAAAATGCAGGCAGGACACAGGACAAAGCACTAGGGACAAAATGTATGTGAAATGGTTTGATACAGTAATGTAATACTATCAGATTTTAGTGTGTTGAGTCAATGTCACATTTTTTACATTTTTGAATTTCCCGCCGGTTCCGTCCCCCGTACGTCCTGACGTCGCAGGGAATGGAACCCGGAAGATGGATGCTGGCATCAGCCAGAGGACATGGCCGGGGACGCTGCAAGGGGGGACATCGCAGGAGCGCAGGGCAAGGTATGTGCTGGAGGGATCGCAGAGCAACGCTGCAGGGTATTCCCCAGTGTAGCTCGGGGTTACCGCTTCTGGTACTGAAAGTTAACCCCCAGCTACACTCGGGAATACCGCCAGAGGGGTAATAGATCCATGATGCTGTTTTTTTTTTTTTTTTTTTTTTTTTTTTAAGGGATGGAACAGATTGACTGAGACTTGGAACAGATTGGTCAAGGGATACAACAGAGGAAGGCCCCTCAGTTGACCTACCCTCCACACCAGCACCAATAAAACACCACTATACTCCTTGGTTCCTTGATAAGCTAAATAAGAAGACGATATCCACTCTGCACTGTATCCCTCCACACTGCGACAGCAAACCAACCAACTCAGCATAGTTCCAGCCACCAAACCAACTCCCAGGAGATCTTTTTTTATATCTATATTTGTATGGTCTCTCTGACACTGGTGCCTGTAAAGTCCCAGTTTCTTTGCTCCAACTTCTGTATATATTGACATTAGGGATGTGGCACCCTTTCCCATTGAGTGAATATCATTAACTGGGTAATAAAACCCCTTTCAAGATAGATTGAATTGGGTGAAAATCTATTATTTATAGAAGGAGGTCCGCAATAGCAGCCAGGTTTACTTTAAATTTGGTCCTTAAGAGCTTTGATTTGGGTTCTACAGATTTGGTTATTTGTCTGTATAGCAATTTGCAAAATTCAGTTTACTGAAGATGCAACGTTCTGGACTGCAAAAGTAGTCATAATAATCATATGCAGTCATCTTTATGACCATATAATCCATTCAGCCCATTAAGTATCCAAATATCAAATGTATATTATTGTATACATAGAAAGCTAGAGTGCAAAACTAAGGTAAGTTACAGTAGAAAACTGTTCCTGGATCCATGAGTTCAGTAAACCACTGATTCCCGTTCCTCTAATATACTAGTTATGTGCTTGCCTTCGTTTTTTTCCTTTTTGCTATGTGATGCTAGATTAAAATATTTTAAGAGTGTATTTCCACTTTTGCAGCCAAATTTGGATAATACCTATGTTAAATCTGATTCATATTCAGATTCACATGGCACAACATAAAAATATATTGAAAACTTATAGATTCAACTCCAGCACTGTAAAATCCTATTAGTTCCTTTTGTTTATGGTGAGACTGGCTATGGGAAGGTTTGCTATAATTAACTACTAGCTGTCCGGAAGATTTACCCTCCTTCATGACCAGGCCATTTTTTGCTGTTTCGGCACTGCACTATTTCCAACTGGTAATTGCGCGGTCGTGCAATGTTGTACCCAAATCAAATGTATGTCCCTTTTTTTCACACACATAGAGCTTTCTTTTGGTGATATTTGATCACCTCTGCAGTTTTTACTTTTTGCGCTATAAACAAAAAAAGACCGAACATTGCGGGAAAAAAAAAAAGTATTTTTTACTTTTGGTTATAACAAATATCCAATAAACTCAAAGTTAGTCATAAATTTAGGCCAAAATGTATTCTGCTACATGCCTTTGGTAAAAAAAAAATCCCAGTACGTGTATGTTAACTAGCTTGTGCGAAAGTTATAGCGTCTACAAACTATGGTATAGATAATAGAATTTACACAGCTTTTACTTTCTGACTGCCTATCACATTTCTTAGGTGCTAAAATTCCAGGGCAGTACAAACACCCCCAAATGTCCCATTTTTGGAAAGTAGACACCCCAAGGATTTTGCAGGGACGCATTTTGAGTCCATGGAACATATTATTTTTTTCCACAAGTTTTTTGAAAATTAAAATTTATTTTTTTTTTTTTTTTTTTTACACAAAGTTGTCACTTAAATGATATATTGCTCAGGCAAGCCATAGGTATATG